ACGGAGCACCACCTGCACATCACCGTTCATTGTGAGCACCTGTGCACCTGCCAATCTGGTCTGTATCTAAAAACTAGCTTAGTTCGCGGGAATAAACGAAAAACTAAAGGACCCGCCATACGAGCTCATTCACGATATTTCTGATAAATATTATTTTAAAACATATATATGCAAAGGACTAAAGCCTAACAATACAGCCGCTTTATATTTTCTATTCTTTTACCGGCAGATTTTAATATACTTACATTTAAAACTGTACTCCTCCATCGCTTCGACTCTCGCTTCGTCCGCCATTACAAGAAAAAAAGAATCTCCGGTCGGGCCGCAATGCATTATGGGATATGCTGGGCCGGGAAGGTTTCATCAGAACTGTCCTTCAAATCGGGGAAAAAGAAGGACGTATTTGTCGGCCGCATCGGAGGAGTCTTTTTTGGTTTGGACGTCCTTCGTCGCGGCGCTGTGACGTATGCGGCCGACAAATTCGACCTTCGGAGGACCCGTCCTGCCGTTTTGGACACACCCGAGTTGACCACAGGGAGGCACTGTTGACCCGCGATAGCAGCAGCGAACTGCGCATGCGCAGTTTGACTGACAAGCAGCTGAAGCTGAATCTCCACTCAGGTCGGCTGGCAGCAGAGAGAGGACAGCTGAGGAGTTACTTTCTCTGTGGCGGAGTCTGAAACATGTTTTATTCTGCTCTCTGGGGGCAGAAGACGTCTCTCAAAGCCCGCTGAACAAATTAAAAGTCATGGCAGCGTCTGAACTTTACTCCAAGGTAGGACGAGTCCGATAACAAAGTGTTTATTTTATACTTAGTTTGTCAGGTAACTTTCCTTTGACAAATTAGCAGCTCCTTCAACACCTGCCAGAGATTCACCTCTACTTTTTAGTGTTCGTAATTATAAATGAGGAGTTTTAACCCACTATCCATCCACATAACATTGTCACTGTTGTAGTTTTTTACCTCTCAAATGACTGCGTTAAGCGCAGAAAACATCTGAACCGGTTTCTCCTTCATGCAGAACGCCCGTGTGTGGCTGCCAGATGCAGCAGAAGTGTGGAAGGCAGCCGAACTGGTCAGAGATTACTCTCCAGGCGACCTGACCCTGTCTCTGCAGCTGGATGATGGCACAGTGAGACAAAAACCCACTCATACACTCATTAAAGTCACACCCAGGGGGATTGTTGCACTACTAAAACTACTAAAAGGCTTGATGGGTGAAGTCACCTAGAGGCATGCACCTTTCTTTTGCAAAACTTACATGTTATGACAGACTATGTATGGGTCTAAGCTTGAACCAAAGAAGACAAACTGATATTTACAGCTCTGCAAAAGTGAGTGTTGAAGGTTTGAACGCTATGTTCTAAAAAAGATGGACTGAGAAACTTAAACGCTGAGGCTGAACATTCAAGCACAGCTGCTACCTCTTGGTATTATGTCGAGTTCGGACATGCACATCAGGTATGGAAATAAGGTTGAATATCGTGAGTGAACATGAACAGACCAAGCAGAGAATATTTTGCTCGTTTCACCTCAAAGCATAAAAACAATTTTATTTATATGTTGCTTTATTTTTTGTCTTTTTTTTTCATTGATTCACATTTTTAATTGTCAATTATATAAACTAAAAGATACATTATTCATTAATTTTTTTCCCAGAAAGTGGAGCACAAAATAGACCCCCGAACTCACAACCTGCCACCTCTCAGGAACCCAGACATCCTGGTTGGGGAGAACGACCTGACAGCTCTAAGCTACCTTCACGAACCAGCAGTGCTGCACAACCTCAGAGTGCGTTTCATGGACTCCAGGCTGATTTACACGTACTGTGGTAAAGAGCTTCATCTCTTTTGACTGCCATTATCACCGTCACTGTAGACTTTGGAGCCTTGCTCACGGCATAGGCTGACATAATCTGCAGTAACATTAAGCTGATTATTGTGATACCGTCTGCTTTTAAGGGAACACTAAGAGCATATCTTTCAGTCTAAATTAATTGACCGATATTTCTTTGTTGGTCCTTTTAAAAAGGGTAGTCACACGTGCCTGACTTCACTGGGGGTATACGTCAGTTTCAGGTGCTCCGTCCTGGCATGATTGCCTTGTGCTGCTTCCTCTCAGGCCAGTGTCAAAGAGGTCGACAGAAAAGGTTCTCTGATGTTCAGTCAATCATAAAATTGTGCAGACACGTAGGGAAAATGTAATTGTTTTGGCCTGTCGATGGATAGATGTGTTTCTGATGCCCTGAGGGAAATAGTTTTGTCACAGCAGATAATAAAGTAGCATGAGTCAGAAGTCAAAAGTCCTATTCACTGTATATGAAAGAAGTCAGGACCAGAATGATAACTGAGTATGGAATAGAAAAGAGATTCTAGAACACTAAACTAAATAGTAAATGACCAAATCTTAACACAGTTGTAGTGCAGTGTATGCTGATATGTATAAGAAGATATACAAAAAACAAAAAATATAATAGATTTTTCATATCTAAAGTAAAAAAAAAACTGCTGCACAAACATGAGCTGCTCTGCAATGAAATGGAGATCCTCGAAACATGCATTTTTTATGACAGCAGAGCTGAGTCTGCTGGCTCTGTGTCGGGTCATGAAGGCGTTGGATCGATTGTTTGAATGACAGCTGTTTGTCCCTCACTGACTCAGACGTCTTCAAGTTCAGTTCAGTTTTTCTTCCAGCTTTATTTCTGAGTTTGCTGAGCACCTCTGATGACCCGTCAACACAGACTGGTAGAAGATGTCTTGGTGAACCCGTTAGAGTCCTGCTCTTGTGATCAGTGTCAGTGGTGGGTTGTGGTTTTTTTGGGTTTGTGCACACCCAAGTACTCGCAGTTCGCGCTAACCTCCACCTCCTCACCCAGGATGTTGTTTGTCTTTTTCTCCTTCAGTCAGATCCTCTTTTCTAGAAACTAGACCTCCAAACGTAACCTGACAGCTGAAGCAGAGACAGGAGCCACTTTCACTGTTGACTGGTTCTAGTGGAAGTCTGAAGTCCTGCTCCCTCTACATAAACAAATTAAACATAGCCTTTGGTAAATAATAAAAAACAACACTTGTTGTCTCTTGTTGATTGGCATAGTACTAATTCCTGCTAGATGTTCAGATATAATTTTTTCTAATACATTTAGATGATCCATTTTTCTTCTGTACAATTTTCTGCATCTAACTCGTTCCACAATTTTGAACTATTTCAACAATTCTTATGTCAAAACATTCAGCTCATTTATGCAACAGGTACTATGACTTTTGGTATTTCAGCAACTTGTACTTTTCGATTTAGCCTTTTTTAAATTTCTTTTTATCAAATTTTTTATCTTATTGAAAATGAATGGAGTTATCTACAACAGTGTTTCCCAAAGTTGGGGTTGGGACCCAAAGTGGGGTCTCGAAACATCAAGGTGGGGTCCTGAAAAGATTTTCGGAATTAATTACATTTTTGCCTTAATTGTTACAAAGGAGTGAAGTTATTGTATTTAAAATGGATGTAGTATAAAATATTGTTATTATGCCCATGTTTAGTTGACCTGATACAAATGTTTATCATCCAAAAATAGTTGGGGGCACAGGTCTCTGCTACTGTTATTTTGTGGGTCAAAAGCTGAAACGTTTGGGAACCACTGCACTTTGGTTCCCAAAGTTGGGCTTGGGACCCAATTATGGGTCATGAAGCACCTTGGATAGTCTCCAGAAATTAATTTAAAGGGTAATAAAATAATTGCTGATGTAATATTTTCCTTTTAACTATTACAAAAACAGAAAATAAGCATAAATAAGTATTTATATTTGTGTACAAGCTGTTTAGATTGTCAAAAAGCTGTGTTTTTAGGGTTGTTAACAAAGTTCGTGTACTCAGACCAGTAATATTTGGGGTCACAAGTTTTTGCCATGAATATTTTGTGGGTCAGAAAATAAAATGTTTGGGAACCACTGATCTACAATACCCTTAAAAACCCTTAAAATGTATAGAAATCTTTGGTTCTGTATTTCTTTTCAACTTTTTTGTGCTAATTTTATTTTTTTCCTGTTTTTTCAGCCGTTCTTTTGTTCCTTTTAGTTATTCTTCTTTTAATTTAAATCCCTTTCGGCTTCTATCAGCTTTTTTTCTGCTAGTTTAAGCTTTTTTGGTTCTTTTAATTGATTTCTGCTAATTTTAGTTGTTTTTTTTTTGGCTAGTTTTTTGGTATTTCCAGCTAATTTGATTTTTTCCCCCATCTATCGTCACCTTTTATGATAATTTCAGCTTCTTACTGTTTAATTCAGCAAACATGCTCTTTCTGGGTCTTTGTGCTAGTTTCAGCCTTTTCAGCTAGTTTTTAGCTATTCTTGGCTAATTTAGACTGCTGTAGCTGTTTTGCAACATATTGCAACTCGTTTTTTTTCAGCCAATGTGAGCTTTTTTACTTGGACTCTCAGTGTGTGGTCTTTGCAACATCAGGAACAGATGATTCCTGTAGGACAGTTCACTCATCAGAACTTCTGTGACTCAGTGTTGGGTTTAAACTCGGAATGAACAGAAATGGAGACGGGATAATCTTCTGTGGTGCTCCTATGTTATTAGTCACCACATCAGACAGGATGCTCCCAGTTATCTTTAATTGGTTTGTCACCCTGTGATTTTTTAGAAGAGTTAGACCACTCTTAAGCTAATTTAAGGAGTGAGAGCTGTAAAATTTAGTACTAAAATATCTTTATTTTTTGCAAGTCTGTGAAGTTAAATGGAAGAAATGATTTGATTTCTTGAGTTTTCTTTAGCAAAAATCTTAGTATTGAAACATTTGATGCGTTTGGCTTTTCACAGTGGTTGGATTTCAAATTTCCATGAGTTTTCAGGATAATGATTGAATCTGAGTTTGAGTTTTTTCCCTCGTGGACTTCAGGAATCGTCCTGGTTGCCATCAATCCTTATGAGAACCTGCCTATTTATGAAACTGACATCATCAGTGCCTACAGTGGGCAGAACATGGGGGACATGGACCCTCATATCTTTGCAGTAGCTGAGGAAGCCTACAAACAGATGGCCAGGTTTGGACCAAACATAATACATTTTATTTCATATTTCAGAGCCACTGCTTTGCTCATTTGTCTTACAACTCATAAAGCCTATGTGTAATGTGTGCGTTCTTATATTGTTATATAGAGATGAGAGAAATCAGTCCATCATAGTAAGCGGTGAGTCTGGAGCTGGGAAAACCGTTTCTGCCAAGTACGCCATGCGTTACTTTGCCACAGTCAGCAGCACATCTGAGGAAGCCAATGTTGAAGAGAGAGTTCTTGCCTCTAGTCCGATCATGGAGGTAAAATTCACCACTGCAGGAAAATCTGGTGCAGATGTAAAACATAATTTACATTAGACAAAAATATCTTTATTTGATTAAGGCCTTTGGGAATGCCAGGACAACCAGGAATGACAACAGCAGTCGCTTTGGGAAGTACATCGAGATCGGCTTTGACAAGAAGCACCGAATTATTGGTGCCAACATGAGAACCTACCTACTGGAGAAGTCTAGAGTTGTTTTTCAGGTACGTTTAATCTGTACGTCTAACTTTGATTTAAAACTCAAGTGCATTTGTTAATAATCTGACATAAACTTAGCACAAAAAGGAAAGAGATTTGTGTTTGACATATTCTTTGTTGTAGTAATGCTTCTTGGCAATAAATCTTACACCTGATTGGCAGCACCTGGGGGTACCAGAAACTCAAAACGTGTCAATAACAACAACAAAATAAGCCGTTTTGGCATAGATTTGGCAAATTTTTCATGTGTGCAACCCACAAACTCAGCTCTACTGCTTATCCTTTAAATAAGATAAGAGATAAGATAGAACTTTATTGATCCCACAGTGGGGAAATTTGAACATTACAGCAGCTCAAAACAGTGCAGTTGCAGTAACAGGCTGCCTGCCGTGGCGCCAACTTAGAAACAAAGAAAAACTGGGAAAACACAAGGGAAGGGAAGATGAAGAAAAAAGCAAAAACATCATATATCAACACTGTGACACATTATGGTGTTTATGAAAAAAACCTCTGCATAGAGCAAGATTATTAGCCAGAGGAGTATGTGAGTTTTAAGAGGCTCGAAGAATCCAGTCCCCAAGGCCAGCGCAGCCTAAGTTCAGAATATTGATGGTCAATTGTTCATTCTGTGCGACCTCGGCTTCCTCAGGAATCAGATCATATGGGGGGTGGGGGGCGGTCAATGTCTTTCAACCAGGAAGGATTTTGCCAACAGATCCAAGGCCGTTGCCGGGTAGATCCAGATTCTCTAATCAGTTGTTTTGGGAACAGAAGGGACAGGCAGACAACAGTTTTCCCTCTGCCTTAATGTCTGCTGATACTCTCAAGGTGGCAAATCCAATCAGGCAAAATGGTGTGGACACATACTGCCAAGTCGATTCATCATCTTTCTCCAAGATGAATTACATCTGGCCAGCAAAGTCCAGGGACCACAGCCGGCCCGTGGCCTTCCATAGAATCGCTTGCAGACTGAGTCCAGCTCGCTCAAGGCCCAATGTCCGAGTGCTGATAGAATACAGCCGTCCATCCAGTTTGTCAGTCAGCCAGAAAGTGCAAAGCCACCAACGCTGTTTTGTAGAACACCAGGAGACCACCAAGCCAATCTGTAGAATCCACTGATCGGAGTCCAAATCTATATCCAGAACAGAGAAGAACAGAGGTCCCACCTTTGACGTGTCCTCCCATGGAAGAAGAAATATAAACTTTGTTCCAAAAAATTTATTGAGAGACCAGCTAACCAAGTCCATAAAAATAAAAATATCCATAATTTCTGGATTCGGATGAAAAATGTAGAGAAGGCTCCAGCAGCAAAACAGGGAGAGATAAGGCAGGGCAGGAGAAATGCATGTTCCTTACGAATGTGGCACCATTTAAAAGGGTCGTTAATAAACTTTTGAACAGTATGAGATTTATTGCCAAGAAGCATTGTTACAACAAAGAAATAATCTACCAAACACAAATTTCCTTACCTTTTGTGCTAAGTATTTCTGTTTAAGTTTAAATTTATCAATGTAAGTTCTGCTGGTATTGTTCCTGGTTACTCTTCAGCATCTGTTTGCATTTGTTTTAGGCTCATGGAGAAAGAAACTACCACATATTTTACCAGCTTTGTGCCTCTTCACATCTACCAGAGTTCAAAGCCTTCAAGTTAGGTCTGTGAGTTTGTAAATATATATTTATTTTTTTGCATATGATTTAATTTAAATGATTGCTTTAACAAAATAACGATATTAAACATGACATAAAAGAACAATGTGTTTTGTTAAAAAGGTTGGGCTGACGACTTCTGCTGCACTAACCAGGGTCAGAGTCCCGTCATTGATGGAGTTGATGATTCCAAAGAGATGCGCAGCACAAGGAGAGCTTTCTCATTATTAGGTTATTATTATTATTATTATTATTATTATTATTATTATAAAGAAAACTATTATTTTTTATTGCTCAACACAACTGATTATGTATTTTTTTTTGTTTGTATTGTAGGAATTGGTGATGGTGAACAAATAGAAATTTACCAAATTCTATCAGCAATTCTTCATCTCAGCAATGTGGAAGTGAAGGATCAGTCTGCAGACAGGTGCAGCATCTTGGTAAATAGATTATCCTTTCATTTAAAAACAAAACAGGATAATAGAGATTTTTAAAAGTGACTACTGCAGGTAGAACTTCTCAGATCAACATCAAACTGAACTGCTCCTTTTTAAGTTGTGCTAATAATACATATGTGAGACTTTATCTCAGCGAGGACATTACTGTTGGTGTGTTTTCAGCCAGATAATGCCCACCTGATGGTTTTCTGTGAGCTCCTGGGGGTGCCTTGTGAAGAAATGGCCCACTGGTTCTGTCACAAGAAACTCAAGACGACCACAGAGACCTTCGTTAAGCCCGTTTCCAAAACGAATGCGGTCCACGGACGGGACGCCTTAGCCAAACACATTTACGCCCGACTCTTCAGCTGGATTGTGAACAGTATTAACGTCGCTTTGAAATCTACGGAGAAACAGAACTCATTTATCGGCGTTCTTGACATTTACGGGTAGGCTTTCTCATGATTTACTTTCTTTATTTCCAACACAAACTACCCAGATGTTCTGAATTTTTTTTTTCAGGTTTGAAACGTTCGACATCAACAGCTTTGAGCAGTTTTGCATTAATTATGCTAACGAGAAGCTTCAGCAACAGTTCAACTTGGTACAACTCTTTCTGCTCAACAAGATTCTATTTCTTCTTCTTTTTTAAATCTTACAGCACTTCATGTTTATCTATCACTCTCTGCAGCATGTGTTCAAGCTCGAGCAGGAAGAGTACATGAAAGAGGAGATCCCCTGGACTTTAATCGACTTCTGCGACAACCAGCCCTGCATCAACCTTATCGAGGCCAAGCTGGGCATCCTGGACCTCCTAGACGAGGAATGCAAAGTAAAATGGCGCTTCTATTTTTGTCCCTCTAGAAGTCTGTATTTTTTTCCCCTCCAGTCTCTGGACTCTTTTTGTGTCTGTGGAGGTTGTGAGTAATGCCGTGACTAAGTGATGTGTCAGCTTTTCCTTTTTCCACAGATGCCCAAAGGCTGTGACGACACGTGGGCTCAGAAGCTGTACAACACCCTCCAGAAGCAGAACGCTCACTTTGATAAACCCAGGTTATCAAACCGGGCTTTCATCATCCACCACTTTGCCGACAAGGTGATACTTGAATTTTCTGACACACGGTGAGGTGGCAGTGCAAGTCCAGTGGTTAGAGTAACCCACAAAAGAGAAATTTCTGCAAGTTGTTTGTATATGCTTTGACTCATCACACGCATCATTTTTCAGTTAAAAAAAGTTTAGTTAGAAAAAATGCAAAACATATCATAATAGAGCATATCATAAATTTGGATATGATGCAAATGTTCAGACTCATGCATCCTGTTTAGGATTGCTGTATTACACTCATAATGACTTGTGTTTACTAATTACAAGCACACACAATCTCTAATTTGACACTGCCAGCATTAATTTGAGGATTCTGCTCCTCAAAGTGGTGCTAATTGTTGTTGGTAGGTGGAGTACCAGTGTGTGGGCTTCCTGGAGAAAAACAAGGACACAGTCAATGAGGAGCAAATCAACGTGCTGAAAAAGAGCAAGGTAAAGAGTAAACACGTCTCAGTTTTAAGCCATGATTTAGATGTTCCCTTTCGATGTCAGTAAGTTTTCTGTGACATTGGATTTTAATGCTTCAGTGGCAGGATGCTAAAAAGAAATGACTGTTGAGTAACGTTGTGTTGAAAGTTTGTGGGCACAACACACACCCTTGGATTGTTCAGACACAACTATTGGAGGAAATGACACCCTTTTAAAAAAAATAAATGTTGAGTGTTAACAGCACCACCTGCTGTTCAGTGACGCCTGCTGGTTGTGATCCTTTCAGTTTGATTTGCTGCTGAAGTTGATGGAGGAGGAAGAAAAAGGCAAAAGTTCTACCAGCAGATTGTCTGGCATCCTTGGAAGAGCTGGGCAGAGTCAAAGGGATACTAAGAAGACAGTTGGACTGCAGGTGAGACTGTTACTGCCAGGAAACATCACTTTTTATTGTTTTTTCATGATCATAGAAGCTGCATCCTTTTATAAAAAATGTTTCAAAAGTGATCAGCATCATTACTTTGTTTTCAGTTTCGACAGTCTCTACACCTGCTGATGGACACGTTAAATTCTACGACGCCTCATTACGTACGTTGCATCAAACCAAACGACCTTAAAGCCCCGTTCACGTGAGAATTTGTCCGCTTGCTTTTGCTTCGTGCCATTCTCTTCAATCACGAATGAAAGACTGATTCATTCACGCGTTTGTTTTCTACATGAAGCTTGGACTCTGTGAGGGCTGTGCAGCAGCTTCGTGCATGTGGCATACTGGAAACGATCCGTATCTCAGCAGCGGGCTTCCCATCTAGGTACCACATCAGCATCACTTTGTAAACATGCGTAGAACCTGTGGTATACTTTGAGTTTATAATATAATTACTACAGATGGACCTATCAGGAGTTCTTCAGTCGGTACCGTGTCCTCATGAAGCATAAAGAAGTGCTTCCTGATAAAAAACAAACCTGCATGAACCTACTGGAAAAACTGATAAAGGTATGCATGAAAACATTTCAACTCATGACAACTTAGGCTTTTTCAAAGTAATAAACTTAATACTGTGTTTGTTTTTGTTTTATTAGGACAAGAGGAAGTACCAGTTTGGCAAAAGCAAGATCTTCTTCAGAGCCGGCCAGGTGGCTTTCCTGGAGAAGCTTCGTTCAGACAAACTGCGCCTGGCTTGTGTCGACATCCAGAAGACGATCCGCTGCTGGCTCGCCCGCAGAAAGTACCTGCGGATGAGAAAATCTGCCATCACTGTTCAGAAACACGTGCGGGGTCATCAAGCACGCAGGTGTGTGGAGAGAGTAACCAACAGTGTAAAAATAAAAATAGATTAGAAGCTGCATTTAAAGAATTTCTTTCATTAGGTTTGTGATGTTTGTGAGGCGGACCAGAGCAGCTGTTGTCATTCAGCGAAACGTTCGAATGTGGACAACAAGAAGGCGCTTCCTGCAGCAGCGCTCTGCAGCTATCACTATTCAGTGTTTGTGCAGGGCTCACATGGCCAGAAAGCTCTACTATCAGGTACGTTTGATGGGAACTCGAAGGATTTGGATTTCTATTTGGATATGTCCTCATGCTGGAGGTTCTACCAGTTTTGTCAAACCTCCAGTGTGATCTGCAGTCTAAATGAGAACTCATTATCCAGATTTGGTATTCTTGAAAGGTTGGATCTGGATAAGAATCCAAATTTCTTTGAACAGCTGGGATAAAAGATAATAAAAGATGATGGATTATGTGATCCTGGAGAGCAAAAAGGGGATTTCAGAATCTGGAAAATTTTGATCCAGATTATATGTTTTGAACAACTGGCTCCAGAAGCTGTTTATGTAAGAAAATCAAAGAGTCTGATATATTCCTTCAGACTGTAAAACACCCAGATACCAATCTGTCTACAGATCCCACAACCCAGGGAGACCCAACAACAAATTTGGTTATGGCTTTTTGCCAAATGCTCCAGAACACCCTCCTCCTCAGATATTTATTTGAATTCTTACTGGTCTGAGTTGTTTCAGCAAGGGCGAGTGGGTGTGGTCATAAAGTTATGGCTGGCTGAGGGGTGTGTGTGTGTGTGTGTGTGTGTGTGTGTGTGTGTGTGTG